CAATTTCACCTATTCGATTATTTGCAAATATGAAGTAGCTAAAATAATATTTATAATCAAAGTATAATTACTAATTTAATTAAAAAAGACATCTAAAACCAAAGATGTTCCGTATTATTTTTCTTGTCTACTATGGTTTTTTATTAATGACCCTTTTTTTGGTATTTTTTATTTCGTATTTTATCATTCTAATTCTTTAGGACATCCTAGGAGCCCAGAATTGCAGATCTCATTCATTCTTGTTGTAAAGAGGGCTTCTTCAATTTAACTATAATTGAAGAGTTTAAAACATTGCCAATACCAATACCCTGCACCGATCAGAACAAGTTGCTAATCCTGCAACTAAAAATTTAGAAGTTTTTAATAACATGAATTTTGATTACTAAAAATATCACAGAATATAAAAGATTATATTTTACTTTTCATTTATAATTTTTTTAACTAAGTATATCGTGTGTATTTGTTTTACCCTTTTTTACAAGTGTATTGAATTTGTTTTATAAGTTTTTGGAATTCATCAGCATATAGGTGAGAACGTGAAGTTTAAGACATTTTTTATTATCCTGATTTAAGAGGAATTCGAACTGATTTTGGTTTTGATGGCCATCCTTTTCGAAAAAAAATTCTCTTTGATTGGCTTTTTAGAAGTTTTTTCTACAAATTAACTCATAAAGTCAAATAACTTAAAGAACTTACAAAAATTTTTTCAAATAATTGTTTTTACTAGTTGGTACATCAAAAGTAATTATGGGAGATATTTAGCCCCCTCGCAATGTGTATTAACCTACTCATACGTACGATGCTCTGAGTGGTCAATAAAAATAGACGCAACGATCGTTTTAATTTCCACTTGATCAGACAAGGTATGAAATTGAACATATTTATTTTATAAGCAGGTACCTACGATTGATCACCTCCATCTTGCAACTTTGTTTAGACAGGGTATAAGGTGTGTAGATGCCACGCAGTTACAAATGTAGATATAGAGGTAATTGACAGTATCAAAGTAGCGGATGTGTCATTAACTTTCTAGAGCACCTGCGGTACCAATGACAGATACTTTTGAACTTGAATGGGTGCATTCTCAGGGACTTTATTTATAGGGTAGAGGGACCAAGGTCTATTATAGCTACTTATCACTACTAAGATGTCTGGTAAATAATAGCTCGTTTCATCTACCCTTTTGAATTTTGTTTTTTTTCATTTTTTTCCTGCTAGTTCAAATGTCATACGTCATTATGGGGCACTCACTCGAAGACCCGTGCATCAGTCCGTTGACCAATTCCGACGTTAGCTTATGGTGTGCTCTTTTAACAGAATGATTGGGATTCCCTTTCGCTCTCAGATAAATATTATTTAGGAGGCAAAGCACGCTTGACTAAGAGCTTAATTACGATCGCGTTAGTCCCAGTGAATCATCATGAATTAATTACTGGCCTGAAACTCGTATTCTACTTTTTATCTCTTTGAGTCGGATCTTGAGGTCCACAAGGAGAAAAAAATTGATCGGATGCACCACTAGACGAAGGGGATCTGTTCATGTGCTACTGAACATGAACAACCGGCTCTGTATCTCAACGGGTTCATCACGGGTTTGAGGGGGCTCTTCTGTGAGACCTGACTCAAGCTTAACAAAGGAGCTGGTAATTTAGTTTACCGTTCAGCAATATTTCAGGGATTGCTCAGCTCACTTATCTTTATCGGACAACCAGAGCATCGTTAGTGAAGGGGGCAAAATGCAATTTGAGGAAGAGACGCTTAACGTCTCCTTTGATTTATAAATAAGTAACGTACCATTCATACAATCAGACAGCTTGACTGCGTGTGTACTTATCAAAGGGTGGGTGACTTCCTCATTTTAAATTAGCTTGAAGCATAGTCGAGTTAGGTAACGCAGGGTATTAAAATTTTCATCTTCTCCGTTTCAACTATTGTTAACCCCCTCAAACCAAAACAGGGTAGCTTTTTATTTTCTATGATTAATCCCAGTGGTTAAGGTCTAGCGCATGGTTACCAATGCATAAATTGCATAGAAGAGGCAAAATTACTATTCTCTAGAGCTGGCCAAGACAATCTCAGTGCTCCTCAGAAAGAGGAAGCTGGTGAAGAACATGAATCTGGTCGATTATTGGGGTTTTGCAATGATTAGGCTACAGATATGTCCCTTTGCATCATACCTGAGATCATAGCAGTCGTGTTTCACTTGCATCTCGTCGAACAGCGCTTAAATCTACACTCCCTAATTTTTACGTATTCTTGAGTCCCTCTAGAGTATTCTTGAGTCCCTCTAGATTGTAATCGTAAAACCCCGGCTCACGCCGTAGAAGTCCGGATACTCCTGTAGAACGGAAGCAGTTTTATTTTGTGGCCGCACGCCTGCTCATTTACCCTCAATAATCAGATATCTAGCATGATTGTGTATGTCAAGTTTTTCGTACATGTCACGGTTATTTGCCACTTCATGTTGATTCATCTTCCACAGCTAGGAGACATCAACCTGTCGCGGTATGAGTCTATACGCGCATCAAGTGCTGTTCGTTCAATCAAAACTAATTTGTGTGATCTTGCTCGATCGCAAAAAGCTATCATTTTTTGAAGTAGTGCCTGAAGATTGGAGGTGTAAAAATTAAGCGCTCGCGCTTCGAATTGAATAGCTGCGAGCACCACCTTCGCTAATTGTTAACTTTGCAAAGATTGCCAGACTTCGTCGATTTATGTGTATATTCTACCAATCAACAAAGTTGCAGTGTCATGGCGTGACGTAAGACCGATCGAGATGTTTAATAGGGAATATTCCAACAGGTGACACGACTTGCAAGTTTGACTCTAATGTGGTAAAGCGGATCGATTTCGGGAGGGGATAAAACATCAAATGCCGGATAAGTAAGAAGATGTATCTTGTTAATGCATTGTAGATGATTGCCGTTAATGTAAATGTCACCGCTGTATGACCCAACGGGCAGATCCTCATCCATCAGTGCCGTCTTATACTGTGGTAAAAGGATTGAGGCCAATCAGAATACTGCTATCAGATGACCGCGATCAAGGGACCACGATTAGATGAACGCGATCAGGGGACCGTAATTTAGCGTGGGCCACCTCGGAAGGGAGGCGACACGTGACGGCATATCCTGGCGTATGGGGTAGGCGTAGTAATAGTTTTAATCTCTGGTTTGGGTAGCATTTAATAGAGATCATAATTTTTTTCAAACACATTCGTGTCGTTCTTCTTCTGGGCAGGATATTTGGCCTCCCGACGTCAAAGAATTTTGACACTACTTACTGGAAGATCACTCTAGGAGCTATCTGGCCAGGCGTGCAAGGCATCTCAACAACCCTAAAGTTCGACCGGATGCAGGAAAACTCACTGTTTGAAGTACAAGATCGCAAGACGACTTAAGTGGGTAGAAGGCTCGCGACTCAAATACCTCAGTTGTGTCGTAAGGTGATCAAGGCTGATCGCGGCGTCTCTGGAAGAGCGCCAAGCAAGAACAAGCGAACGGTTAAGGACTTTCCACCCGATCGACTTTTATCTTTAAAAAAAGTCAAGTTAAGCATCGAGTCATGTCCACCTAAGAGTACAACCCGCCCTGTCGACGGGTACAGAAGGCGAGGAAGTAACAAGTGCAAGCGGGATTAAAATACCCCTCTGTCAGACGCTCGTCTGGGTGCCTGTAAAGAGTTGAGACGTCTCAAAAACAAAGCGAACCCCACCCCACCAAAAGAACGTGACATGGTTTGTTTAAAACACTTTTGTCTTAGTAAATACCCTGAAAACACTGTAACGGTCTTCGAAAGGACAGATTTAGTATCATTTTTTTATGATCAGGAAATAGCAGGTGTTAATTTAAGTTTTTGGCCGACAGCAGCCAATACGTTTACTCATTAATACGCAAGCATTTTTTCAAAATTACATAGCTACAAAATGGGACTACTCGATAATGTATTTTTTTTGGAAAAGAACGGATTAATTTTAATGCAAACAAAATAAAAAAGTATCATAAATCTTGTGGAATCGATGATTCAGGTGCAACAGACGGTGGTTTTAAAAAGGAAATGAGTTTTTAATAACTATAAATCAAATTTAGAGCTTTCAAGAAATTGAGTGGATTTATGTCCTGTAGGTACTTTAACTTCTCCTTCTAAATGATTATACGTTCCTTTTTTTTCTAAAAAGACTAATGCTGGTAAAATTAAATTCGAAAAGTATGCATCTTTCCCAAATTTAATTTTACCAGGATTAACCTTTTTTTTAAAAAAAAGGAGCGTATGTAAAGAGCTTGTTGACAATGATCTTGTTTATTCTAAACAGTGTCATCAATGTGAAAAAGTTTGTTGACAATGATCTTGTTTGATCTAAACAGTGTCATCGTGTATGTTCAAACCAGATAAGGCAGCCACAGAACGCTAGATTCGGTATTTTAGATGTCGTATTGGTTTGTGAAGAGCTCACGATGAGCACCGCGTCGGACGTCGACAAGTCAATTTTTTAAGGGAAAGTGGTAAGGGGGCGGTATATGTGGATAATATGTATACCATCTAACAGTCGTAGTGCGTCATGGTGTTATTTGAGGCGGAATGCTTCGCAAATTCGTGTGCAGTAGTGCTGATGCCGAGTGTACGTGATCCACTAATCTTTCTCGCAAAAAGCATAAAATTAGCATGTATTTTAATTTCGTAAATACGTGTATTTTCCACCGTATTTATTCTTGCACAAGTGTTTTATAACAACCGTGTCACGTTCTGGTCAAGCTTTCAAACCGTGTCACCTTTTGAAATATTTCCTAGTTTTATGCATTAGTGATATATAAGCTGAAAATATAATCCGTGTTGGAGGTTACGGGGGATGTGGAAATAGCAAAAACGGGTGCTGAAAACAAATTATTGCCCAATACATAGATGTGGTGGGTGGTCAACGAGAAACGTGAATTGTGACTCCCAAAATGTATCACTTATTACAATCTAGGCCAAGAGCAGTTGTTATAAGGCCATCACGACGGATGTTCTTCCTCAAGCAGCTCTCGCGCGACCTGCTGCTTCATCCGATGCACTTCGGACCGAAACTGCACGATATCATCCGTCTGCGCCTCATCGAAGAGGTTGAAGGTACTTCGATGGGGAAATACGGCTACGTCATTACAGTCACGGAAGTGCGCGACGAAGACATTGGCAAAGGCGTGATCCAGGACAACTCGGGCTTTGTGTGCTTCAATATCCGCTACCGGGCCATTCTCTTCCGCCCCTTCAAGAACCAAGTGCTGGATGCCGTGGTGACAGTCGTGAACCAGCTTGGGTTCTTTGCAGATGTGGGTCCGTTGCAAGTGTTTGTGTCGCGACACGCGATGCCCACGGACCTGAACAATGGCTACGACCATGAGAGCAACGCGTGGATCTCGGATGACCGGGAGGTGGAGATCCGAAAAGGATGTGGCGTGAGGCTCAAGATCATGGGCGTGAGCGTCGACGTGACAGAGATTGTGAGTGCAATAGGAACACGAGACGAGTGGCTGGCTCGGTGCTGCTGACGGTGGTTGTGGTCATGTTTATTTTTGTTGCACAGAACGCCATCGGCACCATAAAGGACGACTATTTAGGCCTCATCTCGTCCGACAATTAACGTGCTTGCTACAGGACGTAATGACTCCCGGAAATGAGAGCTGCCTTGTTGTTATCATGTGGAGATTCACGTGACAGCACCGTTTTCATGACGATGTGTCAACTGTAGTTTCTCAACTCTGACAACACAGCGTCGTAGTGTCCATCTGAAAGTCGACAGTCTAGAGATGTACAAAGTGAGTGGACTTGCGGTAGTCTTTCTCGAGAATGTGCACAATATCCGCCAGCTCCATATCTTCAATCTCAAAGTTGTGTGCCAGCTCCGCGTAAAGCTCACTTTGAAACCTGTCGCGATCCGCGCATTCCGTTTTCAGCGCATCTTTTAGCGGGCACAGGAAATCGAGGTGGCTGCGCTGCTGACGGTACTTTGGCTGTCGAGCTGGATGAGTCAGGTACTCCATGTTTTTCGGATCAAAGTCCCAAAGGAACGAGGTGTGGTGCAGCCAACGACCCCTCGATAGACTCTGAGCATTCCCGCCAAACTTGCGGTCGTTAAACGCGTAGTCATCTTCTCGTAGCGAGAACTTCTGCACAATGATATACGCAGCCGACGACGAACACGAGAGAGTTCAGCGTCAGCCGCTACGTAGAAGCATGTTGTAAAAACGGCACGAGTATCTCACCAGGTCATCGCGACACACTCGCGCGAAGAAGGGCGAGAAAAAGTCGTGCGACCACGCCATGATCTCTCTCGGAAAAGGCTTAACGTGTGGGAAGTCTTCATGTCGACAGATGAATGTCGTAAAGACGGTATTGTGGTCGACAATGACAGTGCCGCCTCCACTAAAGCGCTTGAGCACGGGAATGCCGTCTCTACCAATAGCAACAGCAATCGAAGTAGGAACAGCATCAGCTCATCAGTCTTCTTTCCCTGCAACAATAGCACCCACGAATACAGCACAGCACGCAGCTCAACACACCGTTTCACAGCGTCTTGATGCAGCAGCTGCTCTGGTTTGCCCGAGACGCCCATGACGATCGTCGCGGGTGCGTGCTTGTCGTTGTAGATGAACCAGTTGCGCTGCGACTCGGCTCGGAACAGCGCTTCCTCGATCTGTAGCTGCTTCTGGATGGACGTCTGCAGACGCAAGAAGCTCATGCGTGGCTTGCATAGCGCCTTGGTCGCCATTGTGCTGTGGCACACGTCGCAGGATCGAGACGACTCAGATCTGAGTCCAGCCGCGTCTCAGATGCGCCTCAGTTTTTCTTTTGGACACGTTTACTGCAAATGGCGATGCCGCCGCTTTTGCTGGCCGCCCGCGAGCTCGTGCGTGGCTCGACCACGTCGCTTCCACCCGATGCTGAAGTTGCGGCTTTTGCCGCGTCTCATTTACACATCGCAGTAGTCTTTCGATCGCGAACGGAGCGAAATTGCGTTCGTTTGGGCGTGTTTACGACGGACGACAAAGTCGACAAGGAGAAAGTCGCACTCTTTCTTGATCTGGCATCGGAATCAGACAATTCACGTGCTTCTGAGGATGCTGAAAGTCAATGGGCGATCGTATGGAGTCCAGATGTCAAATTCCTCGTCGTCAGTGGTGGCAGTGGAGGCATCATGTGGGTTTTAACATGTCCCCACTGGTTGGATTGCGCTTTGTCACCTAGAAGCTTAGCCGACTCGTCTTTACTGCTTCCTATCAATCCATCTAATTACTTGACCCGAAAGCATTGGAATTCTGGTACAAACATTGTCAAGGTTTTCTTCCCGATGCAAAGTGGAAGCAAAATGTTTGTGCTCTCAGGAGACGGAGTTTGGCTCAATGTGAGCGTGCAATTGGCCAAATTAGCACTAATTGCAATGGAGAAGTCGGCGTCTGAAGAGATGATGGGAATATTTTCGATGCAAGTGTCGAAGAAGCTTACGGAATGGCATGGAGGTATTACTGCTGCGTGTTACAGCCCCGAGAATTGCCTGCTTGTTATAAGTGGAGGAGTGAGAGACCCCAGCGCAGATTTAGTGAGAAAGCAAGCGTCATCGTTGAGTGTATGGAAAGTCAAGAGTGATAAAGACGGGAAAGAATCTGGCGAGCTGTTGGATTTTACGCTGCTTGTGGAGGGAAAAAGTCAGCAATTTGACGACGAGACCAATAAGGACGAGACAATGAAGTCAAGTGTAGATTCAGCAACGACAGTGGAGAGCAGTGGGCTGCTAATGAGCGTCAAAGACATGTTTTTTGGCCTAGCAGGGATTCATGCAGGCAGCAAGTTTTCTGAAGATCATTTGATGCGGGGATGTATTCGCCACATCGCATTGGCACCAAATGGCAACTTCGTGAGTATGGTGGACGACCTCGGCAGAATCGCTATTCGCAAAATTGACGCTTGTGCGGATGTTTTAAAGTGGCAAGAAGTACGGGATAAGTCGATTTCTGGCGCGCAAGGAGTCGCACTGAAGTCAGTTGTATGGCTGACGTCCGATTTGATGGGTATGATGTTTTCCAGCGATAACGTAATCTTTGCAAGATTTGAAACACATTTTGACGAAAAGGTCGACACTGGTGGAGTTAACGGTGAGATCTTAGAACTGTCCAGTCGTCTCGAGTTTATTCCTGCAAAGTTTTATAGACCGGCGTTGGCCGTTTCAGCTCACACCGAACGAACGCTTGCGTTCGATGCAACTGTGACGTCACCTGGCGCTACAAACTGTGCTGCATTCACTGCAAATGAGCTCGTCCTTGCTGACAGTGTGTGGGCTGTAAATGACGTGGAGTCTTTGAGTATGAAACCATTTATTGAGCTGCTTATGAATGAAGGAAGATTCGAAGACGCGCTAGAGACGGTAGCTTTACAGAGAGGGGATATGAATGACATGAGCGCAGACGATATTCACCGCCACGTCTGGATGCGATATCGGATCAACGCAGCCAGATTGGATGAATCTGTAATCAGTGGCGTAGAAGATGTTGACTTAAAACGTCAGAATCTCATACTTCTGACCACGCGACCACCTGGACTCCTTCAACGCGAAGACTGTAGTGAGTTTTGCGCTGCATTGGGTCATTTACGAGCGATATCGGACAAAGGTTGGGTACTTGATGAGTGCCTGCATCTTATTGCCGACGACTCATTCACGAACATGAAATGTATTCTTGATCTTGCTTTGGATGCTTTGGTCTGTATGAACGGTGGCGAAAAGGTTGATGCAAAATATTTGCAAAAGAAAGTGGATCTCCAAAGATATATCTATCGTCTTGAAACCCTTCGATTAATAGTGTGCGAAGAAGACGGCATGTCTGCAATGCCCGTTGCAGCTGACAACCTCTTTGATGGAGCTACGTTTGCTCTGTTCCGATCATTACCTATGCTATCATTAGCGAAACAATTTGCACGAGAAGGCCGTGTTACTGCATTGAAGGTGGTTCTTCACCGAAACGGCTGGAATTTGCTTCCTTACTGGATGGACGTTCTTGAGCAAATTCCTTCCTCAGTCTCACCTTTTTTGTATGCGGAACTGCTTCCAGTGATTTCCGCTCAGAAAGAAAAGTATGGGTGTATTCACACTTTTAAATGGTCGAATGATGACTTTAGCCAGTGTGATGACGATTACGACTCAGTTGCGCCTTCTGAAGAGCACTATCTCCACGACATCACTGTCGAAGAGCAGGCAAGCATAAATAATTACACGAGCATTGCTCGCGAAGAGCACAATGTCGCGTACGGTGAATGGCTATCAAGAAGAATTTTGGAGCTAGACACCCGGTATGGCCAGCTCACTTTCGCATATCAGTTAAGTAGACTGGCTTTCGATTGTCTATCCGGGTGGGTCTCTCTGGCTGTTAAACAGCCACTGGAGGAGCTTATTATGCACACTGAACGTTTACACAATTGCGTGCATGTGTTTCACCTACCAGCCTGCTGTTTGCTTCCACTGAACGAGTGGTCTACACTTTCGATGCACGATCAAGCTGTCATTGTGGTAGGCGCTAATGACAGAAATCTTGTAGACGATGTTGCGTTTACGATCGTTCGCTTGGAGAAGGTGTTCGTGACCCAGCGTCGAGATCGAATGTATGCGCTGGATGACATGCTTTCGTGGCTGGCACAGACTGTGTCATTGAAATATATGCTACCCGGCCTGACGCTTGCAGCCGAAATCATTAAGCGGAGCAACCCATCAATTGAGCTTTCCGAACGCTGGATTCAGAGTGACACGCTACTTATTGACACAGCACTTAGTGTCGTCTATTCGGTGAGTTGTTGTGACTATATCGAAGCAAAAGCGCCCAATTTAGGTGCTAAGGCCTACATGCAGAGCCACGGTACAGTTGTGGAGCAACTTTGGACAATATTTCAGTCGTTACCTATACGAAAAGAGAATGATCCACCGGGGATTGCGCAGTTGCAAGCGGCTGTGGGTGAAATGGAAGGTTTGTTGATTGCAGTAGACGTACTCAGCAAGTACGGTGTGGCTAGATTGCCCAGTCAAATGAGGTATCAGATGCTGGCAAGTAGCGATTGTACGACAGGTGACAGCAAGAATGTCGATCCGCATGAACTTGTCAAAAGAATGTGTGCGTTTGCTTTCTCCAGTGAACAAATCGAAGGCAAAGAATATAGCAATGAAAGGCGGTGGCGTAAAGTTCTCCAAGATGCAGTAAAGCTGAAAGAGCTTGCATTCGGTGAGCGATTGAGCCAAGAGGTGATACTGTACAATATATTGAAGCATCTACTTGTATCAGATCGCGTCGATGTTGGCTCTGCTCAGGACGTGGTGAACTATTGGATAGCCTCTGACGAAGAGGCTGTTGAACGTATTCTCGACACGTTGTTCGTGGCAACACGAGCAAAACTTGACTCCATTACCGGATACCATGAAGATAGAAGCCTTAATGCTATCCACACTGCTGCTTTGAATTGCATCAGTATCGCGAGACAACTGCTGTCTCTACCAATATGGGACGAAGGAGATCGTGCAGTGTCCACTACCAAAGAATACTACGAGGAAGCTTTTACGCATGAACTGGATTTAGCTGACGGTTGTGAGCTGCTTGATTTACTGACGCATGGCACTGTTAAGATGTCACCGCCACAGCTGAGGATCAGCCACCCACAGGAAAACGTTCACAACATCCGACTCGATGCTCTTTTTCAAGTATTTCTGAGCAACCCAAGTAACTATAAACCGTCCAGGCGAGCAAAAGATTGGCTTGCGCAACGCCATGCTTTCGGAATAAATGGAGGAACGAATGCAGATTCGTGGAGTGAGCCTTTATCTGCTGTTATGCAATTGGCAAGACTGTTGCATATTGAAACCGAGAAGCTAAAAATTTGGATGAAAGGTGCATATGCAGCACTGTATTGCATCGATTACGATGTCGCATGCGATTTGACCATGGAAGTCATCACTATTGCGACGGCTAAGACTGACTACACTGCGGATCGTAATGGTAGTGGTGACAAAGTGCCTCTCTTGCATTTGGTTTCGTTGGTGCTGGATCTCGTGTCTGCTTCATCTTTCCATTCATGGGGTAAGAAGCGCAATTTATGCTGTGCGCTGTTGAGTGCATCAAGTATATCTTCTACAGACCTTTTCGCACACCAAGTGACAGATTTGGTGCTGAGGTGGTTTGAAAAGATTGATGCTGTTTACGCCGTAATGGTCGAGCTAGGCTTGTCGGACGATGATTTAGAGCAACAGCGACTCACTGACGAAAAGAAGACAAACAGTAATGAATGTGCTATATTGAACGAGCTGGAAGGGGCAGTAGCAGTGATGGTTGGCAAAAAAGAAGACCGCCGACTTATTTTGCGGTTGTTGCAGCGTGGGATTCGTCTTGCTGTCGTGCTGTCCGGCAACAGTGTTAGCGTTGCGAATCACGATATTAGTGAGTCTGTATTGACATTTCTCCAGCAAATGGTACGAATTTGCGTACAAGAGGCGACCGAGCTCGTGCCAACTTCTAGTGATATAGATTCGGCAGATTGGCGGCAGTACATGGATCTTGCCTTCGGCTATTTAATGTGGTTGGGTACCTGCAGCGAATATGGCAGCTTTGAAGCTTTCTGTGTCGATGAAGTCCTCTCTCCATTGTTCATCGATCAATCCGGACCGATGTTGTCAGATGAATTACTCAATGATACATCGCCGAGGTGCGAAGTCATGGTCGGTAGACTCCACGATTTCTTTTTGTTACAAGCAGCACAAGCAAATGCAGCCACTATAACTATTCACGCAGGGGCTTTGCCAATATGTAGAGAGCGTCCCACAACGTTACCTTCATCCTACGAATTCGAGCAGATTGCAGCACGTGACACCAGTATTCCGGGCGATTGTACTTTAGGCGACTCAACTGGTCCAGATGAAATACGGTGCAAAACTCGGCCTCAATCGTCCGAACAGCAAAATGTTATGTATCTGAGCCTAGCTCAGCGATGTCAAGATTGGTTGATGTCGCAGAAAAAGTCACAAGAGCTGGGCCAAATGACCACATTCTTAGGCAATAAATTGAATGCCGAGTGTTTCTTGCAAGATGAATGCTACCGCGAGGAACAGATTTTGTTGCTAGCCACAAAACGAGAACACTTTCCTCTTTCACGGCAGCTTGCCGTACAATATGGCATCGATGAGTATGGATGCTTGCTGGCTTACATCAAGAGCGTGTTACTCGCTCCACCAGATTGCTTTCGAGATGCCCGTCGTAAGCAGCTGGACGAGGCGTTCTCGATCGACCAAACTGATGTCCTTGAGGAAGCTTTGCAACGACCGATACGATTTGGAAACTTTTTACTAAAAAGCGATACCGAAGGCGGTTCAAGTTTGTACGATTTGATTGACGGAACTGACCATGTTGGTGTTTTGCTCGTACTGCGCATGATCCTGGAAAGCTCGAAGCGAATTCGTGAAGAGTTGGCAGAACAAATGTCGCCTCATGATTATTCTTCCTTTCCTCTTGCTAAAGTCTCGATAGACCGAATCACTCTTTTATTTATGTGCTTTAAGAAGCTCATAGATATCGGGGACTCATGTGACGTGCTGGGTTTCGATCTGAAGCTCATAGGCTCAGCTTCTACGACTAGGAAATTACTGACTCCCACAGCATTACTACATGCAGATCCTGATGTAATGGCCTCCAATCGGCAGATGGCTGTTGAAGCAGTCCGACCTCTATTGACTGGCCGGACCGTCAAGGTTGCTACTAAAATATTGCGCAAGCTGCACAATGTGACACCAAGTGCCATGATTTTGATTTACATCAATGATCTACTAATGAACAAATGGAGGGAGGATGGCGCTACTGCCACAAGCGACGCTCATCTGTCGGAAGTGGCGTTCCGTGCGTACGAATCGTTTGTGCCATGTCTTTCAGTGCTTTCAAACGAACATTTGATGCTATTCCACTACTTGTTCCTGAATGGACCGACAGGCAAGCATCCGCCCGACTTAGTGACGCACCTAAATCTTGCAGAGGAATTCTACGGACAGCAGCTGAGTGGTCTGCAGCATTTTGGTGGACTACTGGCGCCCGAAAAGCGCGTGGACTTCGTGACCGATACATTGATTGTTTTCCAATCAAAGTACAACTCCTGGCAATCGTTCGGGGCACGCTCAAACGTTTCGTCATCTTCATCCACTGCTTCTTCTTCGTCCATATCATGGGATCCAACACAATACAAGCAAAAAGAGCAGGAGCTTAGCTATCTGGAGCGTGACCTAGCAGCAAACATGTGTTGTTTACTGCTTCATAAGATTGATAAGCATAATTTGACGTTTACCCTGAGTGAAAGCATGATCGATGTGTGGCAATCGCCGGAGCTTATTGCAGCGGCTATAAAGGCCTGGTTCGCCATGGATCCTCTTCAGCAAGCAGCCAATGACGAGGTTTTTGATTCCGGTGCCTTGATCAAGCTTTGCCAGCACGTAGCATCCGTAGACCTTTCAAGCCTGATTATGGAGCTAGTGTTGCGTACTGGTGGAAACAAGATGAATGGAGATAGTGCAGCTACTGTCATTGCTGAAAGCTACAAGACAGCTGTTGCCAATCTGGTCAATCGGTATGTAAATTCGGAACATGGTGGACAAAAGCACAGTGAACGGTGGGTTGATAGTCTCGTGCGTTCGTGGATCAGGGATACATCTACTCCTAGAAGCTGGCAGGAAGTTGAACTTGGAGACTATGTCCGCACCACTTTAAGGGTGTCACGCGACAGAAAGTCCGATGCACATGCACTATGTGAGCACGCTGTAATGCTGTTGGTGCAGTCGCCATCTGCGCTGCTAAAAGAAATAGGATCGACGCGGCAAAGTGAGATGTACAGCCCTTCTGATGGAATTGACGCTTCAAACGAAAGTGTGGTCGCCTTAGTGCGAGAAACGGTTTCATCCCAGCTGGAACAGTTAGTTCTGCAGACCGAAGATCAGCGAAAGTGGAAAGAAGCTGCAGCGCTTAGCCACGTGCTGCAATCGTGCGAAGCTTTCGAGAACGACTGCGCGAAGTTGGCTACGAGGGCTTTCGGGCTGCACGTAAAATCTGTTTGGTCTGCGTTACTGATGGAACACAACATGGCTGAAACCAAGCCGCAACTCCTTTTCGACATCCCCAGTCCAGATGTGTCGAACCACTTCACTGCAGTATTCCAAGAGCTGCTATCCTTCGTCGAGGCACGCGCTTGTGATGGCGACGCCAAGGCTCTGCAATTTGCGAAGCAGGCAACAGTAGCACTAAGCAACTTGCTAGATCGGCGCGCAGTTGTACAAGGCGATCCTCCACTATGCAGTACTGCAGCATGGCAGAATGAACAGAAGCTCGCAGTGCAAGCACGTATCTGGGCTCAATTTCACGTGGGTGATGGAATCGAGAGACCACCGACACAAAAAAGCGAGGCGACCTGTTGGTCGGCGCTCTTTGCGCGGGGCATCTGGGACGCTCACCTATTAGATTGGTACACTACGCATGCATATGCTGAGCTAAGTGGCGACGAAGAAGGCACAGAAATGGTGGTGTTGGCTCACTGGGAAACAAGCAAGGCCGACATTGCAATTCAACTGCTTCTGATGTGCCCATTTGACGAGCTCAGAAAAAAGTATACCGACCGACTGCTGCATGCTGTGCGACAACTTCCACAAGATGCTCCCAGCTGGTCTACGGTAATGGAGTTTGCACTTTTGCGCTTCGATGTTGCAGTGCTCATCCAGCATGACCTCCACTCGTCGGTAGTGGCCTTCTTGCTGCAAGACGTGAACAAGGAACCAGCACTATGGACATCCAGCGGTGCCTACGTCGTGTGTGCCTTAGTGATGCAGGGTGAATTTGCAGCGGCTGGTCGCCTAACTTGTGCGTTGCGTCATGCACACCCGCTGCTTTGGGACGTAGAAAACGCGCGCCTGCTGCTTTCCAGCTACCTCCGGACGCTTGCTTCATTATCTGTGCAGCACAGTACCATTTACAACGCCGAACTCTCTCACATGAAGCACGAAGTGTACGTCCAGACGTCTTGTCGCTTTGCAAAAGCGTTCGACTAAAGTACGCATCGATTTTGCTGCGAGAAGATCAAACTATAGCTCGGATAATGCAAAAACAATTTCTTGTGCCCACATATCTGCCGCTATACGTTGAGCTTGAGCAATTCGACAACGTGCGGGTTTCGCCAGTCCTTACTGGGATCTTCCAGGTGCTCCTCAAAGTCTACCAGGTGGTCCTGTGCATCCTGTTGTAGCCCCTGAGCCAGCACCCCTGCAGCCCCTTGTGCGACCTGTAAACGGTCCTCGGCCTTACTCCAGCCACGCTTGACGTCTTTTAGCAGGAGCTGCAGGCCACCTTTCGTCCCATTACCAAACTCCTTTTTGTCCACCTGTGAGACATAAATCGACATGACGCACACAATTGCAGGAATGCATCCAGTGAATAAGCAAGAGACTGCTCAATATAAAGCTGTTCGACACAAATTGACCGAAAAATAGTCCCACAGTAGACGTACCAATAGTACACAAGCGTGCGAGAACTGGTGTTCCACTCTGTCCGCCACCTTTTCGGCAAAATGACTGAGTCCCGTACCAGACTCAGACGAAGAGTGCCCATTTTCGGCGTAATAAAAGCCCACGATGGTCAATTTTTGATCCGATTGACAAAACGCGTCCACCATCGCGCACGCCACCTCCAGCAGCGGCGCCAGCGGAGCCTCGTGGTGAAACAGCGGCATGGCGTCCATGATCTCGACTCCTTGACCTTTTTTCTGGCCCAGCAGAAGGCCACACACAGAGTCTGCAGGTCGCTTAGCTGCGTGCAGCATCAACTTGACGTACGACTGCGTCTGCACTGTGGACACGCGGTCCGTCATGATGTGTCGTATTGTAGGGACCACCAACGAAGCTATAGTTTATCTATAGGTACCAGAAATAGTTTTCACACCGACGTATGACAATGATGTCATTCTACCGGGGGGATGCAGTACCACCTCGCGCCGTTTGCGTGGAAATACAAAAGTTTAGAAGCCAATGGCTCGAAACTGTTCGAAATCGGTTCGCAGCTCGCTGTCAACCACGTCATCATCATCATCGTCCTCGACTTCTTCCTCATTCGATAGAGACAAAGTTGATGCTCCCGGGTCTTCGAATCGACCTCGTTTTCCGATCGTAGCACCTCCTGAGTACCCTCCAAAAGCCGATCGCGTAATTTATAACGCCAAGAAAAAACATCGATCCGGTACGTTTTTGCACGGTCTCATTTCCATCGACTCTCTCATTTTATATATTGAGTGGGGCTGACCGTGTTCATGCTTTTATGTAGAGATCAGTCCCAAGAAATGGACTCGAGAAGGTTTTGCCGGCTCCGACGTGTGTGACTTACCGGTCGACGAGTGCAACTTGATCAAGCGGGAGCACTGCAGTGAGTTAAGTGTCAAGCGCTTTATCAACGAGTACGAACGACCGTACATTCCCGTCGTGATCGATGGTATCCCCGAGACTGAAAAGTGGGAAGCTCTGAAGCATTGGACGCTGAAACAACTGCGTCGAGATTATAAGCGCGCGGAGCTCAAGTGCGGCGAAGACGACAACGGCAAGTCCATCCGCATGAAGTTCAAGTACTTTGTGACGTACTTGAAACGTCAGACGGACGACAGTCCGCTCTACATCTTTGACAGTACATTCGAAGACCATAGGGACACCAAACCGCTGCTTGACGACTACATCGTGCCCAAGTACTTCCCAGAGGACCTGTTCTCGCTAGTTGGCGAGGACAGAAGACCGCCGTATCGATGGTTCCTGGTAGGTCCCAAACGCTCAGGCACTACTTTGCATGTGGACCCGCTTGGCACCAGTGCGTGGAACACATTAATTGTGGGGCGCAAACGCTGGGTGCTGTTCCCGCCGCACTTACCCAAGCGTCTTGTGAATGGCAAGAATCATGTGCACGGCGACGAAGACGACGAGGCGGTCAACTATTTCATGGATCTGTTGCCTCGTCTTAAGCAGGCAAGCTCACCGGAGACACTACAGTGTGTCGAATTTATGCAGTTTCCAGGTGAAACGGTGTTCGTTCCCGGCGGGTGGTGGCACGCTGTGCTCAATGTGGATGATACCGTGGCAGTCACGCAAAATTTTTGCAGCTCGCAAAACTTTCCTACTGTCTGGCGCAAAACGCGAAGTAGTCGTAAGCGTATGGCTGTCAAGTGGCTTAAACGGCTGGAAACTCACAACCCGGAGCTAGCAGCGATGGCTATGAAGCTCAATCAAAACGATAAATTCGTTATGTACAGCAAGGACCGCAGGAGGTGCGAAATGCCGCCGTCCAGCTCACGCAAGAGGAAGAAAAAACACAGTGAAGACGAATACAATTCAGCGCGAGACTTGCACTATCACGGCAAAAAGACAAGGTGTGCTGCTAATGCAAAATAAGTTGCTAGCTGTGCTGGGGAATAACATGGATGCATGAGACGCCACCTGATGACATGATTAGAAGAAGAAGTACGGGAGCATTCATGTTATAGCACAAAACTGGTCAAATTGACAAATAAACAAGGGCGACTACATACAAACTACAACACGTGACGCACGTCTACGAGCAAGAAGTTGCCATGTCAAGCAATGTCCGGACGTTCCGATAGCTGAGCCCTATCTCTGTGACAGTACTAATGTCGGGGCGAGCCTTAGGTAGCCAGAGAAAATCCGGATGGTCTGCCATTGACTCGCCTACCCACTCTCCGCCAAGGATGTTGTACGCGTCGTCAAGTTCGAGCAAGTATTTGTAGACTTTGCCTTCCATGTAGGTCGGGGCACGACCCGATACCACGAGCCCTCCATTCTCAAAAGTTTCCTTCATCCAAGATACTCTTGTCTCAACGTACATCATGCGCTTGGCATCGCGGTTAAAAGGGTACGCTGGCTCACCAAAGTATTGACTGGCAGCATCGCTCGGAGTCAGCTCCGTCTTAGTCAGCACCTCGTAGCTGTAAACCGGCTGATTCCAGACCTCAGCACCAGCTGAGACGTCCAATACCACGGACGCATTGAAGCGGCCGATGGTATTAGCTAGCGCAACGTGCATGAAGCCTGGACCAAGATCACGTCGTGAAGCATCCGTAAAGCGGCCATACTTGTCAGTGGTATCCGCACCGGCAGGGTTGAAGAACCTGGCACCTGTGAAAACCGTGGCGATTTTTGCTCCATCGTAGACTTCAGTCAGCAAAGCTTTGATGTCCATCGGCTGAAACGTCACTCCGTTGTACTCAACTGCACAATTCGGCTCCGGCTCGAGCAAGGATGCCGGTGCCCAGGCGTGACAAATGCCAAACCAGGTCGGAATGCACAAGCCTTGCGTCTCTCCACCAAGTCGAACGCAGACTCTACCGTCCCCTTTTTGAAGACAGTCCCCATCCGTCAAGCACGATGTGTTCAAGGACGTCTTTGATATCACACCCGTGGACTGCGACACGCTTGACACCATGGCACTCGGATCGATGCCAAAAGCAGTGGCGTACTTCTTCGTCGCACTAGGTCCATTGTCAGTGCTCCAGCGGTAGTTGATACTGTCCAAATACATGGCCCAATAACTACTGGGCCATGGCATGACGTGGTACGCTGCACTTAGAGCTAATTTGTTCACGTTGAGCTCCAAAGGCACCTGGAAGTAGTTTTCGAGTTTCTCAAGATCCGATGTGCTTGCTTCGAGTTTGCGATCGTGCACAGTAGCCAAAACGGGTTCAACTCCAATGATGGAGCTCTCGAAATCTGCTGACTGCTTGGTCGAAGCCGACGACTGCGATTGTGTCGTGGACGTCGTGCTCGTATCGCCATCGGGGGATACGGTAGTTGCATTTGTGGTGTTGGAACTGCTGTTGGAGCTTTCTTCCGAACTAAACGTGTACTCTACTACCGTGTAGGTAAGAACGCTCTCATCAAACCCAGCAGCGATTCCACTGAACGCCGGACTGTCGTGTGATAAAGAGGTGGAGCTTTCAACAATGGTGACTGGATTGTTTGCAAAAGGTGTTGCAGTAGCCGCTGAAAGCAGTAACCCCGCAAATGTTGCGCCTCGGGCGACGACGGACGCAGAAAGGAACTGAAGAGTTGAACTCATGGCTTGGCTAGATGTGGCAAACAAGTCAAGCTGATGAATGGCAAACGTTTTGACCGACCACGCCGTGTCTAGAGTTTACTTCACTATTATGGCGAAGAAGCGCTACTGTGCCATTCGACAGATGTCGAAGTTATTCTGGTAATAAAGTCAAGCTGTAGCGGAAACAATGACCCAACTTGCTTCATATGGTTGATCGTTAGCGCATGAAGAAAACAAGACTCCAGACTTTGTCAAAAAAACCATGTTTACCATATGCGCATGCTACCACGCTCTTCTATAGCAAACAGTAAAGTTTACCAGCTACTAGTGGTAAGCGTTATGTCATGAAGAAGAAGGGTGCTGCAGAAGCTTGCGGAACCACTTCTTTGCCAAACCAAGTTATATCTCATGAGTCTCCAGACTTAATTCCCAAACGTAGCCACTTTGCAACTCAAAATACACAGCATGGCCTCACTTTTGTTACAACGCGAACGCGAAGAAGACATCGCAGCGCAAATCGATGAGCAGTTTGTAGTGCTCAAGTTCTGCGCTGCGCTGTCCGGGATAAGACTCTTGTATGCTGCAAGTCTGTGCTCGGCTCAAGTTATAAGTGAGTAATCAAATTCCAGCCGTTTTTCAACAGCAAACTCGTCATGACGACATGGAAAAAATGTAATCAGGTCTCGAGGCGCAACAAAGTACTAACTCATTTTGGGTGCTTCTTCTCTAGCTCTCCGGCTTGGAAGACTTTACGTACTGACGTCTTATACCGTAATGGTTTTTTCATACACAAAGCAGCAACTTGCCGAATGGGCCCGTGGCCATCACTGAACATTGCAAGGTCATCTTAGAAGGCGAGATTTTGGGGACATACACCGGACAGACAAAAGATAGGGGGCAACCACTGGAGCTCGCCCTTTGATATGAGTAAGTCTGTCCATAGAACCTAATCAAGTTCTGTATGTTCACGTACTTTGCGCTCAGTCGCTAATAGCTTCACCCCTCGGGCGCGCAATAAAACGTAGCCAGAAATGTGGGCTCGTTAGAAAACTGACTTGGTACGGGCCTCTGTACCTCGCGGTTCCTGCACGCAGAGTTGAGATACAACAGCTACGATCGTAGTGTGACAGGACACAAGGTGCACACGGAATAGGCTATAGTTGTCTATAACTACCTCGCCGGCTTTACTGACTGATAGAATGTCACCATGATCCATGTTTTAGGAGAAAAATGATAGTGATCAAGACGTAATCACTATGTAAGGAAGAAGGCTAGATACAGCGCAGTCTGAGATGTGTAGTCCCACCTCCCGTCTATCGTCCACGTGCTCCGCAGATGCGTGGTAGTGCTTGTTATAAGTAGATCTTACAGCTCAAAGTACACGACTCGAATAGCTGCGCATGAAATTGGGCACCACACCATCGAGATGTCCAAACCACTAAACGCACCAAATGATCGATGTGTGCTCTGTGTAGGGGACCTACACAACGGACGCATTGGGAATGCCACGTCCGTATCTGGATGACGTTATAATACAAACCGATCAGTAGCGTGTTCGGGACAATCACGAGCTATAAACGACCTAGACTGTGGGCGAGAACTTTGTCTATCACCCACGTGAATTAATTATTGTCGCGGATGACGACCGACGTTGCTACATATCATTGCTTTCTGCCACTCACTGTGCGCTACAGCATTGTTAGTCTTTCAGTAGCGCTATTATCGCTACCTATAGGATCACTGGGAATCACCGGTCGATAGATACTGTTCTGAAATCCTGTATGCTCGGTAGCGTGACAAAGCCACGGTCTTGATCTAAATATACGTTCCCTTATCTTTTAAGTAATGCTGACGACGCAGACCTAAACATTAGCGCGACAACCCGATGAACGGGTACCGAACTACAATGCAGTCAACAGACTGAGGATCAGTGCTTCTTTAATCGTGCCGGACTTTTTGTCTCTCTAGAGTCGGAATAAAGCCCCTCCATTGGCGCCAAATCGAGTCAGACGTTTGAAGTTGCTGACTTTCAGTAGCACAAGTGTAGATTCCAGTCTTACTTGAACTGTAACGGGGTGAATCGTTACATAACAATTTATAAGAAATTGTTAATAGAATATAACTATAAGAGTTATATTCTCAGAATATTGTCATAAGGACAATATTCTGTAGCACTTCCAAGTAGTCCCTAATTGGTTGATATAGGCCATTATATCAACCAACGAAGACGCGCCACGACAGACGCACGCAATGAGTGGTGAGCAGATAACTGATTTACACATTTGTATTTAGACATAGTTAGATGAAGATAAATAGTGATTTATTGCAGACATTAACTATTATAAATACAGTTCTACTTTTTACTCTAACCGAGTACTCGCTTCTTCTTACCGTCTTCCTCTGCACGTACGAGTGTACGTGAAGTTACGAGGCACCGCCTTATTCTGTTATCAGAATAAGTAGCTTGTACTGTCACCAGTACAAGCTTCAGGGTGCCCCGTTACACCTGGTAGCACTTCGTAGTCCGTCCAAGGACCGCGTTCACATCCAACATGAATATGTTGGATGATGAAGATGACCAAAGCTTTCACGCTACGCGTGACGGCTACTCCCATTTGAGCGATGTCGAATGGGATGCGGTTGAACGAATGGGTTCGACCATGGGCATCCATGCTGTTAGCGTCATGCTAGAGGCTCTCAATAGAGATGCCCAACATGCTACTATCGCCAAGTTCATTCAAAATGAACTTGACGCAGAACGCGAGAAAGTAGCCTTGCTTCACCAACAAGGTTCTCAACAAGCAGAGTTGTTGAGAGAACAAGGTGCTCAACAGTTTGAACTGTTGAGACAGCAGCAGGCTGCTGCTGGCGGGTCGATGCACTCGCGTCGACCCGAGACTTTGAAGATTGACATCTCAAAGTATAGAGGGGTCGAAGAAGACTCCCTCTTGAGATGGTTCGTCGAATTGGATGACGCCATAAGGGCGCGTCGCATCGACGACGGGGATATGCAAGTTGCATTTGCCCAGTCAAATCTGGCAGGACGTGCCAAGACTTGGGCACTGGGGCTCAAGCTGCACGACCCATATGCGTTTGGGTCGTTGGAAGTCTTCAAGTCGCGGCTCAGACAAACGTTTGAACCGCCTAGAGCTGAGTTCAGGGCTCGAACCGAACTCTTGAAGCTCAAGCAGGGTAAGCGTGATGTGCACGCTTACGCTCAACACATACGACATCTTACGAGTTGTATAAGTTCCAATCCAGTGGATGAACACACGTTGGTTTCGGTGTTCATGCAGGGTCTTGCGGATGGTCCCGTCAAGACTCACCTGTTCCGGCTTGAACTAGATTCACTAGAACAAGCCATTTCCATTGCGGAGCAGGAAGACTTCAGTCTGAGACAGGCTCGCGCCAGCTCGACATCATATCGTCAACCTAGACGATATGACAACGGAGGTCCAGAGCCGATGGAACTCTGTTATGTAGAGAGCGAGAAGGTTCGCTCTACAGGCTACAAGAAGTTGCAGAGATGCAACAGATGTCAGAAGACAGGACACTACGCTTACGAGTGTAGTGCCCCTCGTCCAGTGTCTCGCGACACTGGGCGTAGTGACCGTCCACCCATGAGAAAGGGGCAGGGACGAGGGTCCGCAGTTGGTGCAAAGACGCAACAACGGGATGGACCGTCAAAAAACGGACAGGATCAGTAGGTGCGGAGCACCCTACTGATCCAGCAACGTCAAGAGAATTTGTAGGCCTCTTGATGAAGGTTGCTCCCAACACACAGACGTTGTGCGTTGCTGCTCTAGGTAATGAGATCTCACTCATTACCTTGAAACTCGAAGTGACGAACAAGTTGTCCCTTCGAGCTCTAGTCGATTGTGGGGCGTCCAACAATTTTGTGCGACGCCAATCGCTAGAAGATGGTCACTTCAAGTTCAGTGAATGTGACACACCTCCGTCGATTATGACAGTACGTCTTGCGACAGGCGCATCCGTAACCGTCATAAAGTGTTTAGTGAAGATCCACTGTACGCTAGAAGATACCCAATATGACGATGACTTAATCGTATTGGATTTGGATGACAAATTTGATGTCATCATTGGAATACCGTGGATCAGAAGGTACGAACCACGGGTAAACTGGCAACATCGAACAGTAACGATGCCTGCCGCTTGTTCATCAGATGGCATCTGATGAACGTTTTGGAGCGTCCACAAGCGTGTGGATGTACTACGAGTGAGTGCGATGGCCTCACTTGTGGTACGGTCGTTAGTACGACTGCACAAAACCTTAGTGTACCAAACGGTTACACTTCGGAGCAAAGTTCCGGCGGCTGTGAGGAAACACAGGCTGCGCCGAAGGTCCACCACTCGAATAAGTCGGGTGGACTGGGACAAAGATGTATCCCTAGAGGGGAACATCTAGAAGAGAAACAATCGATCGCTCAGGTTAAGCGAAACGATAATCCTAGATCGACTGGAGAGTCTTTCGTAGAGGATCTCGCTGTGGTTGCGCAACCCCAGCTAGAGGAAGTAAAGGGAATAAGTCCCAAGATTACAAATACGGCGGAAATAAGTTCCCCGAAACCCGCGGGAATAAGTCCCCGGGAAGACGAAGGAATAAGTCCTTCGAAGCCTGAGGGAATAAGTCCCCAGGAAATGACAGAGACATTGAATGTCATAGTCAATAACGGATCATGTGTAGGCGCTTATACACTTGATCTGATTGCGCCTCCGAAGTTAACTTCGGAGATCACTCAGTTGCCAACGCTCGAACATAAAAGATTCTTGCGTGATCTGCGTAGTGGCAAAGTCAAGCAGATCTGCATACTCGTCGCTGAAGACGAGTATGTAACCGACATAAGGTCAGCAACAGTGTTTACTGAGAACGAGAGAGTTCTCAGTAGTTCATCTATGGACGAGAGTGTCCTAGATGAAAAGACACGAATTGAGCGATATGAGTCCCAATCATGGGAATCGCTCAAGGAAAATCCTCTCTATGAAGATTTGGTTGAATTCAAGGATGTATTCCCTGAAACTGTTCCGTGCGAATTACCGAAGGATAAAGGTATTCGACACGAAGTCGAGCTTAAACCAGGCTCGAAGTACTGTGTCATGAAGCAGTGGCCACTGCCTCGTGAACAAGTACTTGCGATCGACAAGTTCTTTGCCGATCGTTTAGCAGCGGGCCATGTGAGGGAATCAACTTCCCCACATAGCTCTCCGACCTTCTGTGTGCGAAAAGCAACAGGAGGGTGGCGGATAGTGCACGCGTTTAACAAATTGAACGCTGCAACGGTACCGGCTCAGACGCCGATACCGAGGAAGGACGTAATCATTGATGGTGTGTCAAAGAGTACCATCTTTTCGTCCATGGATTTGATGGATGGCTTCTATCAAATCCTAATGCGGGAACGGGATATACCCTATACCGCAGTTAGCACGCCTAGCGGCATGCTCTGGGAATGGCTAGTAATGCCACAAGGGCTCAGTAATGCCCCTGCCACGTTCAACAGGTGTGTATCACATCTGTTGAGGCCAGTACGAAAATTTGCGCCGAGCTATTTCGATGACGTATTCATCCATAGTCGAGCTATGGATGGAAAGTCGGACGTTGAGGTTCACAGGTACCACGTCCGACAAGTTCTTACAATCATGCGAAAGCATCAATTGTATGCAAACCTCAAGAAGTGTATATTTGCCGCAAGCGAAATACCACTTCTTGGGTGCATCGTTGGTAAGAACGGTGTACGTCCTGATCCCGAAAAGATCAAGGCGATCACCGACTGGCCTGTGCCGGTCGATGTCAAAGGTCTTCGAAAATTCCTTGG